CTTTAAGAATTTCCTATTTTTCCATTGTCGGCATTTTTTATTTCAGTGGTTAAATATCGTGAATGCAAGTGTTATTTACTTTTAATAGCTTTTATATTTTACTGTAAAAATGTCCAATAATAAAATGCACCTTTTGCATAATATTATCATGTCAAAATATGAAAACATGTTTGGTTGAAATCAAATTCATTATCATTCTTATTTTCAGAATCATAAAAACACAGATAAATTAATATATTTGAGAAGTTGTGTTTGGTGAAATATATCTATATTGATATTGATTGATCTAATACAAGCGATATCACCATTGTTTTTTGTACAAGATGTTTGCCAATAGTATTGTAAAATATTGCTACAGCTATCGAATCCACTGAGAGTGTTAGTAATAGTATAATGTTTAAATGAATGGAAAAAGTGCTATTTTTACATCAAATAATGGGTAGTAAAGAAAAAGCATTAAGGTGAAGAATAAACATCCATTGAATCTAAAAGAAAAGTTTTTATGTAGGTACTATTCGCTTTCGATGCGGTGCGAACATTAGAAAAAGTCTTGTTGTATACTATTTATATTTCCTAGAATCTTATGGTTAGACCTCCGTCGCCGCAGAGAAAACTGGCTCATGTCATGCTAAGCACGTGCACAATCTATTTTATGAATTAATTATAACATATATTGCAATCATTTCATTTTTTGCATGTTTGTTTGTGATTATTCATTATGGAATAAACTGCAATGCTGAGTTTTGATTCATTCTATCAATTTTGTTGAAAACGTTTATCGTTAAAAACGCTTATCGACGCATAACAATTTTATTTTTGAACTTGATAATATTGAATTATTTGTTTGGTCGGTGCTTTATTTTACGAAATATGCATAAATATGCACATCCACGCTTTATACTCTATTTGCAACATTAATTTTAGGCATGGTATGTGATTTATTGGTTTCTACGGTGATTATGTGGTAAGAACGTTGGCGTTTCAACCCTTTGGCGGTTTCAGTTTATCCAATTTATTTTTTCTATTTACCTACATCGGGCAGTCTGATATCAAGCAATAGTGATATTTTTTTCCACTCAAAATAATAAGTAAAAGTAGCTCTTTTTTGACTTTACTGCATTAGATTGATAATGTATTATCAGTGTTACCGTTGAGATGCAATTTGTAATTAAGAAGTTCGGCACAACAGCCCATGGCATCTGGGTTCTGATTGCTGTTTAAAATAAACAAGTAATGAAACGGTATGTAATTTAATTGTCATAGAATAAACAAGCTAAGAAATTAAATACAAACTAGTCGTGTCTTAAATCAAATTGCTGCAACTTTCTGTACTGAAAATTAAGGTTTTAAAAAAGATTCAATCTTTTTTTGAAAACTTTGAAGAAATGAGATATTTGAGAATTATGAAATTTTTGAAAAAAATTGACTTTTTTGAAAAAATTGTTTTTTTTTATGAAATAATTTGGAAATTTTGAATTTTTTTTAAAGCAATCGCGTTGTCTTAGCTGCACCGCATTGCACACTGACGAATAAACTTTGGCACAGAATTGCCAAATTTGATTTGCATATGTCTAATGATCATTATTGATCACCAAATGAATTTTTTTTCAATTGCATATGTCTAATGATCATTATTGATCACCAAATGGATTTTTTATTTACTTTTTTTTATTTATTCTCCGAAACCGCTGGACGTACTACCCCAAATTATTTAATCAGTCTTTCATTTTGTTAATACAAATAAAATGTTTTTGGCTAAAAGCATGTTTCTTCGTCAATACGAATCGAATAAATTATTCAATTCGGTTGACGCGTGTTCACGAAATCGTCGACAAAAATTTGTATCCGAATACACACACACACATACACACATACATACATTTTTTTAATGTATACTAAAATATTCATTGTCAGAAATGTTTGATATATATAAAAAAAAATATTTTCGATTTTTTTGCGATTACTATAATTTATCTGGAAAGTTAATAAATTGATTTTTAACAAATTTAAAAATGAATGTACATTATATTAGTAATCAAAATTCATTATGTATCTTGTATATTGCATTGTTAATTAGTTATGTTATAGCTTTGGTCATGGATGAAAAACATTTATTCTATTTGTTGTATCACATTGGCTTATTAATTTTAAACTCAATGAAGCTGTTATATCTGTCTTGTACTAATTTTTTTCTTTAATTATCATCTTCAAATGGAGGAAATAATTGAAGTTTTTAATAATTTTCTGTTTAATGATTCGTTCCCCTGGTGCAGACAATATTGCATGCGTTTAGCTTTAGATTGTCGATTGTGAAGTAGGAATTGTAACTTTAAAAATCTTTAAAACCGGCTTGCGAATATCTTGTTGTGTAGGTACGTGCGCTTCAAATAAAGTGACAGAGTGCTACTGTTCCAGTTCTTGTTTTGAACATTATCGGGCTCTACCTAATTGTGATGCTTACTAAACGCTGTCCACGATATTCACAATGAATTATCTAAAAATTATCAAATTATCAAATTATTCATTTTTCTTTTCATCATAACTTTCTGATTAATTTCTCTTATATTTTAATTTTTAAAAAGTTGAAAAATAATTGATAAAAATAAATTTAAAATGACGCGAGCAACTTTAGAATTCACAAGGGAAGTGACTGATCAATTAAAACTGAAACAATCTTATGATACAACTGATAAAACAGTGAAGTGAAAAAATAGAGAATGTACAAAAGTATTCTATAAATTTAATGTAAAACTTGTGGTGCTTGGCATCGTGCCTTAAGGCAAATTGCTGGAACTATCGAAAATCAAAAATTTTAAAAAATTTTAATTTTTTGAAAACTTTGAAGAAATGAGATTTTTAAGAATTATTAAATTTTTCAAAACTATTCAAAGTATTTTGAAAAATTTTGATTTTTTTTATATTTTGAATATTTTTGAATATAGAAGAAAGAATATTTGAGAAGAAATATCGAGCGCCGCGTCGCAGTTCAACGGATAAACATTGGTACGGAACCCATAGAAATGCAAACAAAATTTACACTTCTTATTAATTTTTTTATAAAATATTTGGTAATTCAATTTTCATTACACAAAAAAGGGATACCAATGGGTAAACTTTGTTTTGGTCTTCACATTACATATTGTCATTCATAATTACTAAATGTTTTTTTAAATCATTTCAATGATCACACTGATCATTTTTGACTTCTAAATGTTTTTTTTTTTACTTTTGTCACCTGCTCTCCGAAACCGCTAGACCCGCTTTTCCAAAAATGTAATCATTTCTTCATTTGTCGAAGCAAGTTTTGAATTAATGAAATCTAACGCTTTATTCTCTCAATAACTGATTTACCATTTTTAGTACTTTTTGCCACGTATCTTCGAAACGGCTGGACTTGTCTCGGCCAAAAACTAATCAACACGTTTTCCTATTAAAAGGTATCGAATGTTTTTTGAATCATTCAAATCGGTTGCACCGTGTTTGCAAAATCGCGTCGACGAAAAATTTATATCCGCACACGCATACAAACACACACATATATACATCTATATTTCAAACAATAAGGTATTCTAAAATGTTCAGAAACCTTTGAAATAAAAGCTATATAAAAACTTTCATTTTCAATTTTTTTGCGATTACTATAACTTAGCCTACGAGAAAAATAAGCAAAACAAAAAAGTATTCTATAAATAAAATATAATATAAAACAATTCAAACTAAAGAAAATAATAAAACTGATATAAAAAAATAAAGGTAAAAATTGTTTGCAAGTATTGCGCTTAAAAATATATATATAGATACTATAATATTGAATTCACTATTTTAGCAAAACAAAATGAAGGTTTGATTTTAAACAAATGTGATTTGACATCTCAAAATTTTATGTAAATTATCAAAAAAAAATTGTAAAATTTTAAAAAATATTTAGTGTAAGTGGTGATATAATGGTATTTTATATTCGATTTTATGATATATTTTAAAATATATTATTTATATAATATATTTAAAATATATTATTTACATTAATGTCCAAAGTATCGTAGACCTTCCGCATTAATATCATCTCCTGACATTTAAATCTTTCCGAACGTAGATGACCCTGATACTCAATAAAGTGAATTTTGACAAGCAAGGACGCCGAATGTCGCGACAACAATACATCTCGAATTATCGAAAATTACTATTTATACTTTTTCAATATCTATGATTCAATAAAACTGATTACTATTAAAGTTCTTCCTCCAAGAATAATAAATGTTATTTTTTATTCCTATGATATAAAACACTTTTATTCAACACGACTATCCGCACATATTAGTTATTAAATTCCATCTATTCTTTGCAATTGAATAAGTCATTGACATTTATTAAAGATCATAGTTTGATGGGATTTGGGATTGACAATTATTTTTCTTCTAAATTGCTAAAGATATAAAGATTTAATCGCTGGAGAAAGAGGTATATATCTTCTTGACTCTTCAAAGCCTTCGTTCACTTATGAAATTAACAAACTCAAAGGACGTATGCTGTATAGTTCTAAAAGGACTCACTCTGTCAATTTGGGCGATTGTATATGACAAACTACATATTAATTTTGATTTATTATTTTATCTTACTTGAATAAACCATGTGCTGTTGTTATAAAAGTAGAGCAAGTAATGAGATTTATTGTCTAATTTTACTCTTCTTGAGTTTTCGTTTGTTTCTGAAATTTGTCAGTTGCATTAAAGCTGAGAACTGGACAATCATGTTCACTCATTACTTACATCTGAATTATTTAAAAACTATTTTTTGTTGAATCCTTATACCGGTTATAGTTAATTAAAATTGTTTTTTTTCTTCATAAATTTATTATTAGGCTTAAGGACGCTTTTGGAATACTAGCGTGTATTTTTAATATTGAAACAATATCTTATATATTTTTAGCAATTATTTGTATATTGTTTACAGCACCAGTAAAAATACAAAACACCAATAAAGATGTTGCAGCAGATATTACGTGATATGCACGTAGATCCGGAGATCTTGGCGGAGCTCGATGACACCCAGAAGCAGACACTCTTCTGTCGAATGCGCGAGGAGCAAGTCAGGCGCTGGCGCATTCGCGAGGAGCAAGAAGCAAAATTATTAGCTTGTGGAGGTGCATTGAAAAAGGAACGAAAGCCAAGCAAACGTGGAAAGAACGTTAGTTTTTTAAAAGGCGAAGATGGCGAACCTTGGGTAAATATATTTTTTGCCTTTTTTATTCAATGTGGTATGTATATATACAACATGAATAAAAAGTAAAATTATTAACTATGAATGTGTTGTTACGGACATCATATATCGATGTATAAAATGGGTTTTTAAAGAAAAGCTAATGATCATGTTATCATATTTCGGTGGAGAAAAGATCTGCACTAATTAGAAGTGAGTTAAGGGGCACAACTAGTGTGAAATTTCGAAAAAATCGATTTTTGTTTTTTTTGGTTTTCATATTTTGGTAGATTACACCTTTAAAAATAACACGTTAAAATTTCAAATCGATATCTCAAATAGTTTTTGAGTTACAGCCATTTAAAAAGTATATATAGTATATAGTATATAGTACAACGATCATTTTATCTTTAAACGCGTTTTTCTCGAAACAGCATTTTCCGAATTTGCTGCAGTGATTACTCAAAAACGAATGATCCGATCACTATCAAACTTTTTTTACGTGTTCTTTATATAGTTCTCCGTAAAATGAACTATCGATTTTTTGATCGGATCAAAAATCGAATTTTGACAATCGAAAAACGACTAAAATTTTGGGTAAAATTCGATTTTTTTTAAACGCCGCCATTTTGTCAATTTTTGATTTATTTTTTTATTGTAGTTCATGTTATAGATAATATTATCTAGTTTAACGAGAATTTTTTTTTGATTTCATCCACGTAGAAGGCCGGAATCACTGCAGCAGTTAAGGGCCTTTTTTGTCGCGACGTTGGAGATCGATGATAACTTAAAAAGTATTTTATTTTTTTTCAAAAATTTTACTATGTATTCTTAAAACATGTATAAATATATTCCTAAAATTTTGAAATGATTGATAAAGTAGTTTTTTTAATATAAATTCCTAAAAATCACCTTTTTTTAGGCGGTTACACTAGTTGTGCCCCTTAAGCAAGTTTTATTGAGATATATGACAAGACTAGTAAATTTTAATAACAATGTTGTCATTCACACCGTGGTACAATCAATCTTAAATCCTATAGAAAGGTTTGCACAATGACACGGCTTGTGCTACTATAAATTATACAAAGTAAGTCGCCAATTATTTTAACTCCGACGACAACCAGTGTGAGGAATTTTTCTTTAATTTTTATTATTCTGAGTTAAATTTGTGAAAATTGTAATTTCTAATTCTTTAGAAGTATAATTTTTAATGTTTAAATACATTTTTATTGATAATGATCAAAAACTCTTAAAATATAAATTTTACTCGTCCAGCTACTGGGTTAAATTACATTTAACACTTTCCACTCGCTAATTCCGAGATTTATCTGAATTTTGCCGCCGGAGCGGCGGCATTCGAGTGGAAAGGGTTAGCACTCTACGCACATTTTTCATTATCACTTATTGCATATACCCATGCCGTAAATATTTTTTCTCAATTGTCATTAATATGGATAAAGTTATAACCCAAAAGATACTATTTTTTTGCGTATTGATATATTTGTTAAACAACTCATGTTTATTACAATCTTTACTGCCCTTATATATACGTTTAAGATAAGCCTACCGCGACATACCGAATACCGAATATTCGGCATGCCCCAGAGACCGAATACCGAATGTTCGGCAACTCTGCGGCAGGTTTTCAGCGCCTAATCTCGTTGTAATTACTATTTGCAGTTTTTATATTACATGTTTATTCAAGTTATTGTTCCGCTAAATCAGTACAAAGCTTCATCAAAAGCAGTAAGAAGCGATTTCGTCCACATATCTTTTATACGTAGGGAAAATTTATATTTATAAGGATGGATTCTATTGAATTCACAGCTTTATGGGCCGATTTTGCCGTAAAATAGACTAATGTTATGGCAAGACTATGTTATGTTCGGATTTCATACAAAATACTACTAAATACTGTCAAAGTGCCATGTATTTGCTGTGCGATCAGGCGTTTCACGCATAAAATGTAACTTTACTTATATGTTATCCAGCCATATCTCAAAGACCTAGTTATGATAACATCGTTTTTTTGGTATTTGTGCGTTTTCTAGGTTTTCTATCTAAAACGCATGGCTGCACTGCAACCTTATAGGATTTTGACAGTTTTTAGTACCACTTCATATGGAAACTGTTACATAACATAGGCTTGACATAATATTGATCTACTTTACTGCAGAATTAACCTCTTTATATGCAATATAAAATAAATCTGAATCTTTCATCTTTAGGTTTGGGTGATGGGAGAACATCCAAATGACCCGAGCATCGAGGAAATCTTGGAAGCGGAGGCTCGCGAAACTGCACGCCGGCAAGCGGAGCAGGAAGCGCAACAGTTGCGCCACACTGTTGAAGCCGAACTCGGCGAGCTGCTTATGCGATGCGATTTAGCAGCGGAACAAAGCAAGGCGAAGGAATCATTGAATCCGGAGAGAATAGAAGATTCGATGGAGATTTATTGTTCGGTGGATGAGCTCAGAGCCAAAGCGCCTCCTCAAAAGATCTCCGCCGTAGAACAGAAACAAGTATGTATTATTGATCTAAGTTATTCTCATTAACAACTGAACGTGTTTATGCGAAAATAATTGTTAAAAAATATCTTGCTCATATGAGCCTATAATAAATATTTGATAAGTTCCTTATTAACTTCCCGTGGGGCAAGTTATAGTAATGCAAAAACTCGATAATGAAAATTTTTATATATCTTTGCGTTTCAAAGGTTTCTGAATATTTTGGCATACCTTAGAAAAAATGGATGTATGTGTGTATGTGTGTGTGTATGTTTGTGTGTGTATGTTTGTGTGTGTATGTTTGTGTGTGTGTGTGTGTGCTGATACAAATTTTCGTCGACGATTTCGGGAACACCGATCAACCGATTTGAATAATTCAAAAAATACTCGATTCGTACTAAGGAGATGTGCTGATTAGTTTATGCCGAAGGCAAGTCTAGCCGTTCCGAAGATACGGGGCAAAAAGTGCCAAAAATGGTAACTCAGTTTTGAAGATAACGGAGCGTCCGATTTTAATAATTCAAAAAATATTTTACTTGTATTGACAAGATGAAGAATTGATTTTCATGAAGACAGGTCTAGCGGTTTCGGAGATCTAATGAAAAAAGTAAAAAAAATGCCATTTGGCGGTCAAAAATGATCATTAGACATATGCACATCAAATTATCAGATATTTTATAGAGATTTTAACAATAAGTATAAAATTTATTTACATTTCTATGGGTTCCGTACCAATGCTTATCCGTTAGACGGCGGCGCGGCACTTACGCGCTTTGACACTTCGTCTCTATGCAGTTCAAGCAGTACGATTGCTTTGAAAAAAAGTTCAGAATTTTCAAAATACAGTAGAACCTCGATTATCCGGACCTCGGTTATACGGATTCGCGATTATCCGGACATAATCGCGTCGGAACTTGCATATTCTGATGTGCATATATACATTCAATACATTCTCTGTTTTGACGTGCATATATACATTTTTAAAGGGTGGTGTTATCCCTTAAAGATAAAATAAATATTATAGAATCATTAAAAAAGGCGAAACCGGCCGTAAGTTAGCTGATAGGTATGGTGTAGGCAGTGGTGTTGTGCTAATATTTTTTTTGCCGGAACGCTAAAATTTAAAATCCGGTTCATAAACCGGTTCAAAAAATTTGATATATTTCGATAAGAACTCACAAATCTAATATATTGACTTTTTATATAATTAACTCTATTATACACAGCTAGTCTATACATTAAATTGTACAAGTATGAGGGAATCATTGAGAACATAATTTATATTCTTCAATGACATTAATCATATTTATTCTGGTATTATTTGTATTCATTAATACCTACAGGTATTTATTATGATATAAAAGTACTCAAGATTTATTACAATACTTTATAAGACTTATCCTAATAATATGATAGATAACCTATTACCTATCACACTATACTATTATATATTATTGTATATCATATATAGATATCTATTATCTATCATACCGTGAGATACCTATACCGTCATTAGCTTATTATATACCCTACATACCTTTTACTTCTTATAAATACTACTGTCTAATTTATATATTCTATTAATAATATGATAGATAACCTATTACCTATCATACTATACTATATTATTGTATATCATATATAGATATCTATTATCTATCATACCGTGAGATATCTATACCGTCATTAACTTATTATATACCCTACATACCTTTTACTTCTTATAAATACTACTGTCTAATTTATATATTTACCTATATTGTATAGGTTTACCTTACGCCCTATGTATTATCTCTACCTATTATATATATTATCTATTGTCTATACCGGGAATTGAACCCGGGACCTCCGCGTGGAAGTCGCGCACCTTAGCCACTACCCTATCGGGTACCCCCATTAATAATATAATATGGGACGCACTGTTGTTTCCGCGGGTCATTTTCTAATTAATTAGATAATTAATACTGAGGTGGCGCGACGACACGCGAAAAAAGACGGTTGATTGTTGCGTTACGGTGGTGTAGTGGATAAGGTCGTCGCGTGCCACGCGGCGGACCCGGGTTCGAATCTCGGTAGGGTTAATGTAGTGTGTAAGGGAAATTATAGGTAATAGGATATATAGTAGATATAGGTTAGGTGTATTCGGTATACAATGTAGGGTAATGAAATATAGCGTATGGTACAGATGTAAGGCGTGTAGTATAGAATGCAACGTATAGGCACACGTAAGGCTATAAAAATACATGAATAGGAACCTATGATGTAGATGTTAGCGTATAAGAAATGCGAATGAATGTAAGATTTAATTTATAAATATTATTTTTTCTATAAGAAGTTCATACACCTCAATTTGTTACTAAATTAAAAACGACTTTGATAAAACCAGTGGTTTTGTGCTAATATTTTTTTGCCGGAACGCTAAAATTTAAAATCCGGTTCTAAAACCGGTTTTCATGTTTTTCCAGTTCCGTTCAAAAAGGAAAGAAACAAAAATTATTACAAAACTCATTTTGTGCACATATATGTATGTTTATTACAATAATAACATTTAATAAAAATTAGTTGAATAATAACTTATAAAATTTACTTATTAAATCATTTTCTGTATGTAGCGATGTTTTTGTATTTTTTCTTGCCGGAACGCGTTCCGGCTCAAAAATGATTTGCCGGAACGACGTTCCGGCGCGTTCCGGCTCGACAACACCACTGGGTGTAGGTACATCCACTATAAGCGATACTAAAAAGAATGCCGATTCAATTTTGTCGTACGTTAGATAGTAAACAGGGGAGTGAAAATCGGAAAATGATGAACAGACCAAAAAATAACTCTTAGAAGAAGCTCTATATTGTTGGTTTTTACAAAAACGATCAACAAATTATTCGTAAGCAACTTTTTCATTGATACTTTACGAACAACCTGAATATTTTACCTCATGATTAATATAATATGTATAATGTAATCTAATAGCAAGTGTTAATTTTCTAATAAACATCGATTTTTGTTGATATCTATGTATGTATTTGTTATTTTTGATAAACAAAACATTATTCTTCATCATTTGGATTTTCCGGATTTTTGTTTATCCGGATGCCTATCGACAACAATTAGTCCGGATAATCGAGGTTCTACTATATGTCAAAATGAAGAAAATATTTTTTTTTTTCAAAAAAATTTTTTGTTTTCAAAAAAAAATTTTTTTTTTAAAAAAAAGTAGTTTTTTGTCAAATTTATAGTTTCTCAAAAATCTAATTTTTAGAAGTAAATTTTTTCAAAAATGTTAATCGTTTTTAAAAAAAAAAAAAATTTGGTACGGGAAGTTCCAGCAATTTGCCTTAAGGCACGATGCTATGCGCCCCACTAGTTGACAATTTAAATTTACATTCATTGAATTTTCTCAGGTTGAAATGAATAACCGTTATAATTGGATTCAATCAAATAATATTAATAACGGACAAATTAATAACACGCCACCTAAAAACAATGTCAAGAGTGGAAACTTTGCATTTCATAGTGACAGCAAGATAGATGTTTTACAGGTAAGACTATCAATTTATATCAACTCTTTTTTGCTACTCTTTGTCTAAAAAGATAAACTTGTAAATTTAAAAATTATTTTTTCATTGGAAATTCTATTTAAGCAGCTATTTTAAGCATGTTGTTTAAAACACAACCTTATTTTTATCGAACTGCGTTTAATATCTTGTTAGCTTAAAAACTGATTTTATCACTGTTACAAAGTAAATATTATGGATAGTTCCAGTTTAATCACTTTTTTTATAAATATATAGGAACTGACGCTAAATAAGCCTCATAGGGTGGCGCAGCGTGTGGCGATGTGGGAACGCAGAGTAATAGGCGAACGAACTTCTGAAATTTTCAAAAATCTCCAAAAGAAACAAGCCGAAACCGCTAAGGAAGCTGAAGAAGCCGCACAAAGACAAGAACAACTTTGGCGGGAACAAGGTTAATTTATTAATACAATATTATTTTGTACAATGGAAACTACAATGCATAAATTTATAGTATATTACAAATTGTGTGAATTTTATCATCTGTAAATTTTTTAACAGATAAGAAAAGTATTGATATTGTTTAAACATTCGATGAAATTTTAACCCATTCGAGATGGCGATTTTTCTTTATATTGTGTCTTTGTTTATATTGTTAATTTTTAATAAAAAAAACTGGTTCACTAAAGAAATCATCCAATTCGTAAGCAAATTTACATAAAAAGATGTGTGCAACTCGCTCCTCAGAAAATTTTTATTGCGAGGAGCGGATTGAATACTTCATTAAAATTGTTAAACATTTGTTGTAAAAATAATTAGATAATATAAAATCGTTATGTTGCTTTCAATAATGAATAACAGAATATCATGCGAAGAAATTTTTCAAGAAATAGTAAAAGGTCAAAAAAAAATAAGTTGAATAATGAAAAAAATAATATAAACAGGAAATAAATTTTTAGAAAAATCTCTAAAGGAATTAAAGTAATGGAGCTCAGTAATGAAAAAGAAAATACAATTTGTAAATACATTTTTAGGAAACAGCACACTGGTCTTTAAATAATTATTAGTGGATTTTAAAATTCCCAACAAAATGTTTTGTTTTGTTTTGGCACGAATTAAAACCAATGCCAAATTTTGTTTTTCTCTACCTATTACCTATTATTTTTGTTGTTCTTTATTTAATGATACTATTAATTCAAAAAAAATTTTATCTCGACGACTATATCACTCAGAATAACTGATAATTGTTCATTATTATTATTGCACATACGGTGTGCAACCGGTCTCATAGCCTCGGAAAGCAATTGCACACACGGTGTGCAATCGGTCTCGAATGGGTTAATGAGTAGTATGGTGTCGATGTCGATTTGTTGATTTTATTGCATGTGCGCGTAAAGATGAATAATATGATATTCTCAGCATTCGTTTTCATATCAACCTACTTGCAGAACGTAAAGCAAAAGAAGCAGAAACTCAGATTCGCGAAATAGCGAGGCGCGCTCGTGAGCAACACCGGCGCTCGGCGACTTCAATACCTCAGCAACAACATGGCGGTAATACTATAAGCGCCACTGCCAGTAATACTACTACAAGCATCACTGGAAGTTCAGGTCCTAGTTCAAGTACCAGCAGTCCCCCTGGCAGTCTCGAAGCAGGCATGCCACGACCGCCGAGTGCCCGCGCTGTCCTGGACTGGTACCGCGAAACAGAAGTGCGACGCAATGCGGGCATCGAGCGAGATGGCAGGGTGTCGTCGTGGTTTCACGGTATTTCTTTCTAAGATTTGTTGTTTGAATTTTCATATTTAAAATAAAATTGCCACAAAAGTCAAAACGCTCTGAGACGTTATTTTGCATTCTTATTCTTCAAAAATTAAAAAAATTACTACTAAATACATTATGTATTTTATTTACTACTAAAAACATTATTATTTTATTTATATCACATTAAGAATGTGGCATGTGTTTATTGATAATAAATTAATAAATTGATAATATATTTATTTTGCGCAAAAATTCATCAGTGTTTTATAAACAAATAATGTGCCATAAATTTTATATAAAACATTACTTTGGCACATTAAAATAAACATATACGTACTTACTACGTACGTACTAGAAATTTCATAACACAGGTACATAACATGTTTTAAAATTTCTTTGATTTCAATGCTATTGAAAAGATAGTTGTATATATTTCTGTGGATAAGTAAATTATTGATCAATGATTTTGCCCGACGATTTATTTATAATTTTAATTTGTTCAGGTTTGATAACACGACAGGAAGCGGAACAGGCCTTGAATGTTGAGAAAATGGGGACATTCCTGGTGCGGCTCTCTGAACGTATTTGGGGGTATGCAATTAGCTACAAAGCTGAAGATAGGATTAAGCATTATTTAGTAGACGCCTCTAATGGCCATTACCAGTTCCTGGGAGATAATCAGTTATCTCATAAAACTCTTGGTAAATAAAGAAATTTGTTTATTTTTTCATTTATCAATTATTTATTTCATTTCATTTATCCACAGTAATCTTTTATACAATATCTGGTTCGAATTATTACGGTTTTATTTACATGTATTCATGAAATATTTATATGTATATAAATTAAAGAATTCAAAAGGTGTTGTTAATGTTATGAATATCAATGTTGATGTGCTTTAACAATTTGTCATTAATCTATTTGATAAGCATGAGAAACTATAATATATTGAGTCTTACAGCAATGAATTGACTGTTTCAGGTGATTTAGTTTCTCATCATGCCAGCGAACCGATCACAATGATTGGTGGTGAGCTGTTGAAACGTCCATGTCCTCTTCCGCGAAAGATATTACCTAAAATTGCTAGTTCATAATATAACTAACGCATTGTGTTATATATATGACTGATATGACTGTGACACCCGATCAAAATGTATTTATATAACACATTTAGGAATATAAATGCCTTTTATTTCCTTTTATCTACATAGTCGACTCTATTTTAGTTAGATGTTTTAAATAAATCATTATGACTGTGAATAATTAAAATTTAGAAATGAGTAGGTAGTCCAAGATAATGTGAGGAAGAATTTGTTACAAAGGTCATTTTGCTGAATGATCTCAATTGTTTGGATGCATGTGTTAATATATTATTACTGAGTTATTGTTTTATAGTTATAATATTACCAGTTTTTATTATTTTTCATAGATTTTAAATTCTCAATATAAATATTATTTTCTCATATTTCTTATATATTAGTTAAACTATTTACATACTAATCCAGATTATTAATTAAAGATAAATCTATAATATATTTAGATTTCAGTTAGAATTATAATACCAAATTTCTCATCAAATATTTTATAATAAATATTAAATGTTGAAATTGTAATTATTATATGTAATTATTTTAGTAATACTTTATTATATTTTATAATCTTCATAAGTATTTGTGATAAAGTTATGAAAAATGAGCTTATGTTGAACCATATTATTGCCTTACATAAACGAGGCCTTTATTTTTATAGATAGTATTAATGCATCATGTATTTACATAGGTATCTGCAGTTAGTGATATTTCAAATGGGTAATATGCTTTGCAAAGACAAATATCATATAAACTATAATCTGGAATAACAACAAAAATTGACATATTTAAAATTTTCATCATATCTGCTGGCAGAATTTATTTTTTTATACATTTGTACATAGGTCGATATACTGATCGTAATTCTTAATGAAGAAACAGCCATAATAAAGCTATATAAAGCATTTATAAAGTATGCAATATAGTTTTAGTAAATAAATGTATTTTCTTAAATATGGAATTTATTAAATGAGACAGGCATTTAGGTAAAATAATTTGAGGAAAGGATAAGACAGGATAAGACTTGTTTAATTATTGCAGTGGCTGATTATTTTATAAATCACCTAAAAAATAAGTTTATTTTAATACCAGTATTTATTAAAAGATCTGATGGTTTTCTAATCAATAAATTTATATAGACATGATACAAGACATAATTTATGAAAGTCCATGATAAATTAATATTGATTGTAAGAAAAATTATGTCAAATTTCAACAAGGGGTTTATAAAAATAATTAAAAGAATTGCAGCTAATAATAAATTTACCGCTGATAATATATTATGTTGTTATTGAACTATTATTATATCATGTAAAAACATGATAATAAGAAAGGACGAATGTGATGTGCAAAATTATCATATTTTTGATTGATTAAATAAAATACTTGTTAACAGGCATTCATCAGGATATTAAAATAGAAAGAAAAAAATATTTCTTAAAATAAATTTACTAGATCCATATGTTTCGAGGCCAATTTGACTCTTTCTCAGTGGAAACAAAACACACAAGTTATTAAGTTATCAAAACACAAACACAAACAAAAGCATGATTAATGAAAATATTACTTTACAACAACCATGTTAGTGAAAAAATAAAAAATGAATATATATTTCGAAAAAATAAATAAACGAAAATAATAATTTCGTCTTAATAACTTGTGTTTTGTGACCACTGGTGAAGTCAAATTGGTACTCGAAACGTTAGTTTTCTTTCTATTTTATTATCTGGATGGATGCCTGTCGAAAAGTATTTTGTTTAATGAACATATATATTAACTATGTGCAGTATTTGAACTGGTATCTTTAGAAATTATTGTATCCTAATCAATAAATATAAAACACAGAAATGTATTTTAATAATAGTTTTATTCAAATAACATCATTTAAAGACTTAAAAGCAGTTGTATATACATAAAAAACTTTTTTTTTTTTAAATTGTAGACGAACTAAACCACTATTTTCTTTCTTGGTATGTAGGAATAGAACATAAGTCTCGCTTTCTTTTGCGACCAAAAACATCCCTCTATATAAAAATAAAAAAGTGTTAAAAAATTAAAAAAACATGATCACTAGCACTATTCTTATTTAATTTCAGTTTTGTGCTAATATTAGGTATAGTTTCCATAAATATTTGATTACAAATATTAAATTTGAAATATTTTTTGTGTAAGTTTATGAATTTATATTAACCCCGTTTCAACTAATACAAAATCTACAATTCTCTAACTAATAATCAATCATATAACTAACTACATAAATATATTTGATTTATATTATATAATATATGTTAACTAATTTAATAGTAAATATAACAATCGCAAAAATTGCTTTTGATCCTTTGTTTGGTCAATCATTAAAATTACAATTGAATTACGGTTTGTTAAGGTTTAATTTGCGATCATAACATTCTACTTTTTATACTTCATTACTCATAAATATAACAATGTAAGTTTAACAAAACTATCACAGATTTGATTTAATGTTCCTAAATACATAATATTAGTAGCTGAAGGATATGATTTCTCGTTAATACAAATTTTTTGAATGACAAATCGATTAAATAAAAAGTATTTATCTAAAACCAATAATCAGGTTTTTTTTGACTTTATTATGTTTTCAATTGTAATTTATTCAATTACAATTTTATAAATAATGATGTGAATTCAAAAAAATCATTTCCTTCTATAGAAAAACTTGCAATCTAATGAGCAATTAACTATAATAATTTCCAAGTTTCGAAGAATATTTTCTATGTTGGAGGTGATGGCAGAGGATCAATTGAACTATTGATTGTTTTTGAATTTGCTGAATTAATTCGCTGTAAAATAAGATGGAAAAAGTTTAGTATCTCTTCACCACATTGAAGAATATGTTACTTTATTTGAAAGTACCGACTGATGTGAGATATGTGATTATTGGTGGTCTTTCAAATACTATTTTATTCAAGAGTGATTTTTTTTCATATATTATATTACATAAACAGTTCACTATTATTCTTTCTTTGAGTAAAATTATTATCTGTATGATTTAAATAATAGTTTAAATTGAATAATTAGTTTTTCGAGTTTATCAAAATTAAGTTAATTGCCTGAATGAAGACAGTTGACAAATGTGACAAATGACAATGTATTTATGGAATTAAAACAATTTTTTGATCCAATAAAAATAAACAGAAACTTCTAAAATTGTTGAGGTGTGTTTTCAAGAAAAATTGTTAATTGGATAGGATGATTTTGGTTTTCATACATCTAAAATGTAGTTCGAAACAGACATTGATCAAAACTTATTTACTATTAGGCCGAATTGTGGTTATAGCTATACAGATATGGAAGTTTATTCGAATATAATAAAATAATAATAATTACTTATATTTTAGAAATATTAAGTAAAAAATAAATAACCGTTAGTGTTTCAATTTCAGATTGCAAGTTTACCATTTATCAGATATGGCAACACTATTTAATTCATTTTGAAAACAATTTTAAAGCAGCATGCAATCAGTTAACATCAAGTGATAAGTAAATACGTGCTGAAGAATTTGTCGGATGGCTTTTGTTGATTTTTTGTGGGTATATAAAGTAATATAGAATGTGTGATCATCTGCCACCGTCTTTATTTTTCTCAAATCATACTGTGTTTGATATTGAAATTAACGCATAACATAAATATTAAAATGTAAGCAAATATTAAAATTCGTATTTAAAAGCCAAAAGTACATTCAACTAATAACTGTCAATACTGTGGCGAAATTTCTAAGCTATTATTTTCGAGATATCAAATTATTTATAGTTTTAATTGCTGAAAGTAAACATTGTTACGCATATAATTGAAATACATTCTTACTATTAGTGTAAATGTGAAAATGTTCATGTGATTAGAATGATATAAAAAGTGGAATAACTTACCGGCGTCAGGAAACTTTCATTAGGATTAATGTACGTCATATGCATCGGCACGGGTTGAATTTTTTTCTTGGGAAGTTTCGACGGACTGCCATACAAACACGAAGCTGTCACTATCAGGTAATGCAAGTAAACAAAATAATATTAATAAATATAATTTTTCTATTAATAGTATCTTAGTTAACCCCTTAACTTACAATGACGAACAGAGACCGCGTACGACAATCTGGCCATAAACAAATATGCATTACAGGCATGGCCCGGCACGGTAATTGGAATTATTACAAAATATTTGTTTATACGATACTATAAAACTCAAAATTATTTTTATCTGTTCGCTTCTCCAGCTTACAACTTTGGCCCAACATTTTGGAATCTATAGGGGGCGTCCATTAATCGCGTGATCGATTTTTTAAGGATTTTTGATGGTTGGTGATACCTGGTGATTTTCAGAATTACCCCCCTTTTCCAAGCAAATATCACGTGTATTTTTAGATACGAAACAAATTGTAATTTTAAAAAAAAAAAATTGAAAATGTTTGGATTTTTATAACAAATTCAGCTAAAATATAAATACACGTAACATCTTACTATCTTACTATGCTCTTTCCTCCACGTGATATTTGGTGATTTTTTGTCAAACCCCCCTCCTCCTGAAAACCTCACGTGATTAATGGACACCCCCTAAATCGTAAGTTAAGGGGTTAAGAAATATATGGAAATATTTATTGTTGGACTAGCTGTAAAACTCTTGTGACATGTAGCCAAATAATTAAAATATATACATATAGTGATTTACAAATGTATTAACCCTTACAATCCGGCACTGATTCAAAACAATGTACCAGCAACTTAGTGCTGAATTTTGACAAAAACGTATCTGCTGTAAACATGATATTATTGCGCATGTTATGCAATTTGTTAGATATGAATTTTGTGGATTCTGAAGAACATACATTTACAAAATATCTAAATTTATTTTCTGCAGTACGTTAATTACTATTATATCGATTTTTATATGTCTCTCTATCTTTTGATGAAATTTTCTTGTTTCAAATAAATTATTGCAACAAGAAAAGATTACATTATAATTAATTTATTCATGGAATAAAGTTGATGAAATAAATAAAATTCTACTTTGGAAATAGTCGGCGAACCGCAGAAACATATTAAAAGGCCCGCAAGAAGCCTACAAGCCGTGGGTTGCTCATCCTTGATCTATTGCATTCGATGATGTTTGCAATATGCCTTGCGCCTCATGGGCGACATCCGAGTATCCTCGTTTTCCCAG